CTTCCCACAGTTTAGGGAAAAAAACCTTTCAGGCTGACTAAAGAGAAATTGTGACTTGGAGGCCTTTTCATTCTTTCCAGAGCTTGGTTTCTAGCCTTGTGTAACCTGCGGTTAATGAAGTTGCACATGTGAGACTAGCAGTGCCTAGCAACCACATGGCTCTTAATTCCCAGAGAGACTAACATTCCCAGAGCTGGCAGGACAAACTAATAATGGTCTGCTTTAGATTCAGTTTCACCAAGTGCATCTGGAACTTGATTGATGTCTGGAAGGAGGTGAGAGGAAGCCAGAGATCCCAAGAGATATAGACTGGGTTTGCCCTAAGCTGCTCTGAGGAGAAAGTTTCTCCTCTTGAATGGTCAAGTTACCCCAGAGTTGTCATGGCAATCAAAACTCCCTTTAAAAGAAAGGTGTTTTTTGGAGGCTACATTCTTCTATGTAGCATTTTGCCTCCCATTTTAACAATTACCAATTAAATTGTGGGGAAATGTCATTAGAGAAGCAAGGAGCTATGAGATAAGAAACCTAGAGCGTGCTTCTCCAGGAAAGCTACTGAAAGCTTTACGAGGAATGCAAATTTATTTTTGTTTCACGCTAATAAAAGCATTATGTGTCAATTATGGAAAATGTTGTTGGTACCAGTACATATAAAGAAAATAACATTCATTATAGTCTTACTCTTTAGACAGAATACTTTAACATTTTGGTATGTTTCTGCTCTCTTTCTCTGTGCATACGTCTTATACATTTAGATTATACTGTCTGTACCATTTTGGACTATATCATAAACATCTTTCCTCATATTATATATATTTTAGGAAACAATTTAAAATCACTGAGGAATACTCCGAATAAATGTATATATTCTAATTTATGTGATTCTCCTATTGTTGGGTATTTATGTTGCTTCTGGTATTTGGGGGATTATAAATAATGCTGCAATAAAAATTGGGTGTACATAAATATTTGCTTGAATTTTGTATTTTTTTCTCAAGGCAGTTTTCTGACTTACTGGCTCAGGAGTATGAATATTTTAAGCCATTCTGGCAAATATTTATTATTCAGTGTTGACACACATTTATTCCAACTTTCTAACTTGTCTTTACAATTTAGCATTTGTTATTAGAAGGATTGTGTGTCCCTGAAATGTCATTGTACTCCCATATATTAGTCAGTTCACTGGTACTATTTAGAGATGTGTGCATGTGTGTGTGATATGTGAATGTGTGCATGTGACTAAGCCAGTGTTTGTCAAACTGTGTTTTTTTAATACTTACCTGAGGATATTTTTTTCCATTTTTTTTTGAGAGAGTAGAGGGGAGGGAGAAAGAGGGGAGAGAGAGAGAGAGAGAGAGAGAGAGAGAGAGAGAGAGAGAAAGAGGAGCATAAATGTGAGACATATTGATTATTTGCCTCCGCACGCCCCTGACCAGGGCTAGGGATCAAGCCTGCAACTGAGGTATGTGCCCTTGACTGGAATTGAACCAGCAACCCTTTGTTCCACAGGCTGATGCTTTAACCACTGAGCAAACTGGCCAGGGCTCAAACTTTTTCATGAAGCATTAGTTTTGTGAGGTTTTAAAATGCTGAGAGGCAAAATGGTTAATATTCAAACTAGAGGCCCAGTGTATGAAAATTCATGCAGAGGGGGGAGTGGGAGGCGACCCTGTGATCAGGGGAAGGCAACGCCCCCATCACAGCTCTGCTGCTGCCACTGCCGGCAGTGCAAGCCTCAGCCGGCCCTGGTTACCTGAGCCTCGGGCGGCCCTGGGCGGCTAAGGGGCTGAGGGGACTGGGAGTCACCATCTTGTGGCTGTGGGCGCTGCCATCTTTGAGGGCGTGGTAGTAAATTAGCATATTCCCTCCTTATTGGCTGTTGGTGCCGCCATCTTTGAGGGCGGGGCATCCAATTAGCCTATTCTTTCCTTTTGGCTGTGGGCGCTGCCATCTTTGCGACAGCGTGAGGGGCAATTAGCATATTTCTTTATTTGATAGAATAAAGAAAGGAAACACTGGCCTAAATGCGATCTACATTTGCTCTGCCTGACTACTCACCATGGCTAAGACTGGTCGCAAATTGGTATCTGATTGTGTGGGACTGCAACAGTTGGGTTCTCTGGGTTAGTGCCTGCAAACAATGGTGCCATGGAGCCAACAATCTGAAACACAAGTTTTTCAAACAGGGAATCTTTTTCAGAGTCTGTGGAAAATCAGACAATAGTTTTCATACTCTCTGACTCATCTTGTGTGGACAGAGATAAGGACATTTGAAGGCCACTCTTAACTTTTTCAGGTCACAGAAGGGAAAGTGGCCCACTGAAATTAACTGGATCAAATCTCAAGGGCCTGTGGGCTCATATTGAGATGCATTGACTCTCAGTGTGTCTTTTTAATATTCTGTTTTGCACATTAACTTGGAAAAAAATAGTTCCACCTAAGGTAAACAGTTATTAATCAGTAGTTTTGTATTATATTTTCCCTCATAGTGGAAAGGATTTGCATCCTAATCAGGAGAGATCAAGGATGCCATCTGTCAGTTATATACTTTTTTTGTCATTTGCTAATATTTTTACTCCTTTTCAGGTCTCTGGAATGGAGCAGTTGTACAGATGTTGATGTAAGCATATCTAAATCTCTATTATAGTTCAATGTTTAGAAAAGCTGTCTGTTGACAGCTATGATATTCATATTTCTTTCCTCAGGGACCAGTTGGAGACACTGTTCTTGGTTATTTCCAAATATTTTACATTGATGGTGTCTGCCAAGAAATTAAGGGCATCATTACTTACTGAGAAAACCAATTAAATGCTTCTGACACGTGTTGTTTTAGACTTCATCATAGGATAAGATAATTATTCTTTAAATAATTTAATGTAATACCCATTATAAAACCACCCTAAAATTAATCAGTCCTTTGTTTTAACCAGAAATACTCCTTACTTTTTAAAAATACATTTACATTGGCTATAGAAACTGAACTTTTTTGGAATTGATAAATTAGTTTCTTGGAAAAGCAAGCATTATGAAATCACAAGGAGGTTAATAAAGGTGCCATACAAAGGAAAACTATAGTAGAAATGATGGAAAATTTTCAGAAAAAAATATAAGAAAGTGAATTATGCTCAATATTTTAGAAGGTTCTGTTCACAGGGTTCAGATTTGTTTCCCTTTAATTTTCACTCTTTGATCCTAGCTCTACTCTTTGAAGCTACCTAAAATAGGTCTAATTCTTCCCCAGTAATAGCCCTTAACCTATTTGAGACTAGCCATTATTATTTCCAAAAGTATATTGTGCTGTCCATTAATATTAGCATCTGCATAGTTCTCTGTATACACACACACATTAACTTTGTCATGTATATGTGTATTTATGTGCACTTCTAGCACTGCATGCTACTACATAAATTATATAATTTCAGATAATTATTCTTGGAAATTATTTTTATGCCTTGGGTCAAATCTTCACTTTCCCCTTTTGGCCCTTCTCAATAACTAGGAGGATGCAGATGTATTCGTGTTTCGACCTATTTCTGCGAGTCAAGGTGTTATAGAAGTCAGAAATGGAAATCTAAAGGCTCTTCTTTCCCTGACGGCCCCAGGAACCAACATGTTCACCCTCCTCCCCAGGCCTGACAGACTTCTTGACTTAGGAAATCTTTTGGAATTTGAAGACTAGTAGTACCCAACACTATAATGGCCTCACTTGAATTTACCTATTTTTATAAATGTCTGAATACACAGCTTAGAGGTAAATTGAAAGTCATGCTTATTTTCAAATCCTTCTACAGTTTCTAAAGCCTCTGTCAACACTGTTGATTATTTTGGGGGAGTCTAGCCCCATCAAATGGGGCTCCACTCTCCTCTAATCCACCTACTGTTCCCATTTTGTTGTGTTAAACCCATTTAAAATTTTCAGACACATTTAGATTTCATAAGGCTGCAACTAGCGCTGATTTTTAGGACAGGTTATTTGAAAAGGAAATTTTAGCTCCTAACAACTCTTTGAAGTTAAATAATGCATGTAAGGCACCAGGATTGTTTTTGAATAATTTATGCAGCAATATTTAAAATAAAGAAAGTCATTTGCATCAGAAGTAGAGGTTAGTGATAGCTCAAACACCTGAGAATTTAAAAAATTATTAAGAAACTTGAGGCCCGATGCACAAGATTCGTGCACTGGGTTGGGGGGGTCCCTCAGCCCAGCCTGCACCCTCTCATAGTCTGGGACCCAGGCATTCCTCTCACAGCCCAGGGCTCTTGCAGTCCGGGACCCCTTGCTCCTTACCACCCACCTGTGAGCCTGGCATCTGGCTGAGTGGTGCTCCCCCTGTGGGAATGCACTGATTACCAGGGGGCAGCTCCTGCATTGAGCATCTGCCCCCTGGTGGTCAGTGTGCATCATAGTGACTGGTCGTTCCACCGTTTGGTCGATTTGCATATTAGCCTTTTATTATATAGGAGGATTGCTAAGAGACATTTACATTCTTAGAAATGGAACAGAGAGTCAATGGTGTTTGGGTCAATTTTATATGATTGCAAGTGTAACAATAATCTTACAAGTTGCTCATATGTATAAAAAAATTTAGAAGGCTGAATATGTAACCCAACTTAAAGAAAAACATAAAGGACCCTTATGTAAGGACATTGCAACCTTATAGCATCAATGGTGACTTATTTACCAACTCTTCTATATATGGTTGTTAGTGGCAAGTTAATACTCCTTACTCATGGGAACCATGAAAGGATTCCTCAAGGCATCTTGGCCCTGCTCATAGAAGTCTAGGAATTATAGTAGAGACAGTGTTGAAATTAGGTTAAGATCATAAACTGTGTCACCAGAAAGGATTCATCCTGTCCAGTCACTGAATTGACATAAGTCATTGGGCAACTAACTTAGCCTCACATTCACCTATAAAATAGCATTAACAGTAGTACCTGTCTCATGGAGTTTTTGTTATGGGAAGATGAGTTAATATTTATAATTCAGTTAGAGCATTGTCTGTAATTAGTGCTATATATACACTTATTAAATAAAATGAGAAAACCTTTAGTGTGAAGACCTGGAGTTTCCACATGTATGATAAAGACTTTTGCTCTAGCTTTGTATATAAGTTGCCAGGTGTGATTTTGTACTGTAAACTAGCTCTCTCCCACCAGGTTATATCTCCTAGGACAGTGGTCAGCAAACTGCGGCTCGTGAGCCACATGCGGTTCTTTGGCCCCTTGAGTGTGGCTCTTCCACAAAATCCCACATGCGGGTGCACACATACAGTGCGATTGAAACTTTGTGGCCCATGCACAGAAGTCGGTTTTCGGCCTGGGCGAGTCTATTTTGAAGAAGTGGCGTTAGAAGAAGTGGAGGGTGTCGGTCGGTCGGTTAGGCAAAGGGAGATGCGGGGGAAGGTGGGCCGTGGGATACGCAGTGTGTGGGGGAGGCATGCGCGATTCATGCATGAGTTGAGGATGGGAGAGTTGGAAGGGGTTGACCTCAGTGAACGTACCTCAATCAGATTGAAGACGTTTTTTAGCGAAGGCCAGCTTAGGAATACCCTAATTAAGTTAATAACAATGTACCTACCTATATAGTTTAACTTTAAAAAATTTGGCTCTCAAAAGAAATTTCAATCATTGTACTGTTGATATTTGTCTCTGTTGACTAATGAGTTTGCCGACCACTGCCCTAGGATAAAGTCATCCTCTATCTAAATCTCATCATTATATCTAGGAAGAAAGTGCCATAGAAGGATTCAATGGAAATTGCTCAAGCTTTCCATTTTCATAGTCATAAAGAACTAAAGTTTGGCCTGGATGTACCCCTATATATGTTTGAAAATTGAAGGCTAATTTAATGTCTGTTGAATAGTTGAGAGGTAAGAGGCAGGATATTTTATGGTGCCTATACCCAGTCTGATTATTTTTAAATTTATCTTTATTGTTGAAAGTATTACAGATGTCCACTTTTGTTTGTTTGTTTTGTCCCCCCTCATTGACCACCTCCTCCCCATACCAGCCCCTCCCAAGTCTTTGCCACACTATTGTCTCTGACCATGGGCTATGCATATATGCATATAAATTCCCTGGTTAATCTCCCCACCCCATACCCCCTACCCCCACATTCCCTCTGAAATTCATCAATCTGATTATTTTTAACTGATTATGTGACTAAATTGAGTAAATTGACTTGGTTATTGGATATGTGGAGAAATAATTTCAGAGAATGAGTTTTAATCAGTCCAATACACTTTCAGATTTAAGAAATTCTGAAATAAAAAATAAAATCTTGTCTTGAATTTCTAGAGCAGTGGTTTCCACTTCAAAGTTTCAGAATTTATAATTATTTAGATCTACAATAAAAATATCTATATATATAAAAGCCTAAGCGACCGACCAACTGGCCAGACAGTAGCTATGATGTGCAATGACCACCAGAGGGCAGATGCTCAATGCAGAGGCATGGAAACATGGAACAGACTGATGAATCTCAGAGGGATGGGGGAGGGGCGAGGGCTGGAAGATATTAACCAAAGATCTTATATTCATACTAGAGGCCTGGTGCATAGATTCCTTCACCGGTGGGGTCCCTTGGCTTGGCCTGTGGGGATTGGGCCAAAACCAGCTCTCCAACATGCCCGAGGGGTCCCGGATTGTGAGAGGGTGCAGGCCAGGCTGAGGGACCCCACCGGTGCACAAATCTGCGTACCAGGCATCTAGTATAAATACAGTGGGGCCTTGACTTACAGGTTTAATTCGTTCCGTGACAGAGCTGGTAACTCAAATTACTCGTATGTCAAGTCAACAGTGAACGAGTGAGACACATGATGCTGGGCTGATGTTGTGGCATTCACTGTGACATTCACTGTGCCAACTAGTGGTGGGGTATCTGAAGCTGGCTCATAACCCGAATTTTAGCTCACAACTCAAAGAAAAAATCGGCTGAGAGACAGCTCATATCTCAAAAAACTCGTTAGTCAGGACACTGGTAAGTCAAGGCCCCACTGTATAACGTTTCAGGAAGATATGGATAAAATCTGGGTGGAAATGTGTGCTATAAGAAAAAGCATTTGGAAACTTTAGCGTTTTCTGCATAGTATATTGACCCTCTCCCAAAGGTATGTGCACTTTGAGGAATTTTCCATAGTAGTGATGATTTAAGCCTCTTATCATTACTTTGTGAGAAAGGAATTTTTTTCTTCCTCAGAAGGTCTAAAGAGCCCAACTAGAAATTAACAATATTTTTTATCAATCTTGAAAAAACTATACACTCAAGAGAAATGAGAGATCAAAGAAGAAAAAGAAAAGGAAACAGAAATATAACTTCACCTACTCCAAAAACAAAACAAACACAATTTCAAGTTCAATAAAATTCAATGCAGATTTAATCGTGTTCACATAGATTTCTTGTTGTTAATTTTGTATCCTGCTACATTGCCATATTCATTTATTAAATCTAGTAATTTTTTGATGGAGTCTTTAAGGTTTTCTATGTACAATATCATGTCATCTGTGAATAATGACAGTTTCACTTCTTTTCCAGTTTGGATGCCTTTATTTCTTCTTGTCTGATCACTATGGCTAGCACTTCCAGTACTATGTTGAACAGGAGTGGTGAGAGTGGGCATCCCTGTCTTGTTCCTGTTCTTAGGGGAAATTGTTTATTTTTTGCCTATTGAGTATGATGTGGGCTGTAGGTTTGTCATATAAGGCTTTTATTATGTTGAGGTATGATCCCTCTATTCCCACTTTGCTGAGAGTTTTTATCAAGAAAGGGTGTTGGATTTTGTCAAATGCTTTTTCTGCATCAATCGATATGATTTGTATCTCTCAATTTGTTTATGTGAAGTGTCACATTTATTGATTTGTGGATATTGTACCATCCTTGCATCCCTGGAATAAATCTCACTGTTGTATGATCTTTCTAATGTAATGCTGATCTGATTTGCTAGAATTTTGTTGAGGATTTTAGCATCTATGTACATTAGAGATATTAGCCTGTAATACTCTTTCTTTGTAGTGTCTTTATCTGGTTTTGTGATTACGGTAATGCTAGCTCCATAGAAAGAGCTTGGAAGTTTGCCTTCTTGAATTTTTTGGAATATTCTGAAGAGGATAGGTTTTAGTTCTTCTTTGAATTTTTGGCAAAACTCCCCCTGTGAAGCCGTCTGGCCCAGGGTTTTGTTTACTGGAAGGTTTTTGATTACTGCTTCAATTTCCTCCATAATTATCTGCCTATTCAGATTTTTTGATTCTTTCTGATTGAGTATTGGAAAGGCAGATTTTTCTAGGAATATGTTCATTTCTTAGAATATGTTCATTTCTAGGAATATGTACATTGACCATTTTGTTGGAATACAGTTTTTCATAGTATTTTTTTTTACAATCATTTGTATTTCTGTGGAGTCTATTGTTATTTTGTCTCTTTCATTTCTGATTTTGTTTATTTGGGTCCTCTCTCTTTGCTTCTTTGTGATTCTGGCTAGAGCTTCATCAACCTTGTTTATCCTTTCAAAGAACCAGCTCTTGGTTTCATTGATCTTTTGTAATTTTTTTTGGTCTCTATGTCATATATTTCCTCTCTGATCTTTATAATTTCCTCCCTTCTGCTCACTCCGGACTT